ATATCACTTTTACTAATATAACCCTTAATTTTTTGTAATTTTACATAGTGGGGCACTAAGTGACTAATTTATCCCTTAATTTTGATTTGTTTCCTTCAATAAGCTATTGAATTATAAATGTATTTTAAAAATTGATAACTTTTGTATTTTTTATCGGTTTTACATATATAATATATCAAATTAATAATCTTTTGATGATCTTCGATTTGACATCCATATTGTATATATGAAATAAATAAATTATATTTATCTTTATAATAATAAAAAATAATAATATTTATTAAAATTCATTAGAAAAATAAAATTATTTCTTAATTGATATATTTATATGTAATGTAGTTATATATTGTAAGTTCAAAAAATTAGTATAATATAAAACAAGTAAGTTGCACAAATAAAAAGTGTCATTATAAATATATAATAATATATATAATCTTATAAAAGATATTTAAATTTTCAAACTACTTTTTCTCATTAATTTTAGATTTTAAGAAAAAAATTAGCAAGCACCCGTGTAATACACGGGTGTTGTACTAGTCCTTATTATATATTAATAGATTTCTTTTAATTCAATTCTAACTAACCTCCACTATCATCAATATTCTCAATATAATTTAATAATATTAGTCAATCATTATTACACATTACATTAACTTTAGTTTACTATTCATCTACTCACATAATTTGAACTAATCATCACTTCACATTATCTTTTCTACTTTTACATCAAATCAAGTTTAATTAATTTATTTTAAATATTATTTTAACATAAATTCAAACCCACTAACAACTACCTAAAAATTAATCATACCAAACAAAAAAATCAAAAGAAAACCAAATTTATGTCCAAGCAGTATTAATTCTTGGAGTACAGTCTTACACAATCTTGAGGTGCTTAACTTATTTGAACTTGTTAAAACTTTTTAAGATTTTGTGGAATTTCTAAACAAAAAATATTATATGAACTTCAAATCTCACCTACAAACTTAAGATTTCACATAATTCCTCCCAAATCTTAAAATTTTACATAGTCTCAACTTTTAAAAGTCTCGAAATGTCACTTGAAAACCCAATTGAATACACCTCCTTAATATTGAATGACATGACAAATCCAAGTAAAAAAATCTAAAATTTATACAATGCAAAAATAAAACACTAAGTCTATAATACCTGCCAACCAATAAAAATGATCTGAGATAATTTCTCTATTAGAATAAATTTAAATTAGAAATAAATGTTGATTGTTCAAGTTTGTAATTGGGTAGAAAAATTAAATTAGAATAAATGTTCATTATTTATATATGTACTTGGGTATAGAATAGACTCAAAAGTGGATTTCGTCTCATTTTTTTTATTGTCACGTAAGTTAGACCATGTCTATTTTTAATTACATTGGAAGACCTTTCTTTTTAAGACTAGGTTTATTTTCTACATGAAATATGATATTTTTTTAAGAGACCTAAAGTATTATGGGTGAGAGCACGCACAATGCAGTAGGTACAATTTTTCATATTTGACATATAAATGGACTTAACTGCTGAATGATATGGACAAAAAAATAAATAATAATCCATAAGTTATCTAGTGTAAAATAAAATGTTAGGTCTAGACTACCTGTCAACCAATAAACATGCTCTAATATATAATTTCTATTAAAAGAAAAAATAAATTATGAATAAATGTTTGCTATTCAGGTTTGTACTTGGGTCAAAATAAACTCAAAAGTGGACTTGGTCACCTTTTTTTTTTTACTACCACATAAGTTAAAACATGCCCATTTTAATTGCATTTATAAGAAATTTTTTAACAGGCTAAGTCTATTTCCTACATGGCAAATGATATTTTTTAAGAGACAAAGAAACAATTATGGGGAACTCTAATGGTGTTTGTTTAGAAATTATCTCTTAGAAATTATCTCAATCCATACTCAAAATTTGACTCAACTTTAACTTAACTAAACTATAGTCAATATTATCATTATAATTTACTAATGTTAATTAATCATTTTTAGACATTACTTTAACTTTAATTCATATTTGTCAACTCACATAATTAACCACCACTTCACGTAACCTCTCTTTTGCTTTTACGTTAAATCAACTTTAAATAGTTTGTTATAAATATTATTTTAATATCTCACTAATAATTAACTATTTTATTTTTTCGATATTAATCATGATTAACTAAAAAAATAGTAAAAAATTGATTTATTTGTATCCAAACGCTCTTGGTTGTGTTTGCTTATAAATTATTTCAACCCATACTTAATTTACACTCAAAATCTACTCAACTCCACTATCATTTTGTTTAGTATTATCAATATAATTAAATAATATCAATAAATCATTATTACACATCCATCAACTTTACTTCACTATTTATCCATTTAAATAATTTTAATTAACCATCACTTCACATCATATGTCTCCACTTTTATATCAAATCAAATTTAATTACTTTATTTAAATATTATTTTGATATAAACTCAAAATATCACTAACAACTAACCATCCAACATTTTCCAAATTAACTCTAGTTAAAACAAAAAAAAAAAAATCTCGTTTTCAATGGATATATTTGTATCCAAGCACGTCATAAGGGTTTTTATATATAAAATAACACAATTTATACTTAATACATACTCAAAATCTAAACTCAACTTTAATTTAACTTCACTATTATAAATATTCTAAAATATAAATACAAGAAATAATATAAATCATCATTCTTACACATCGCACCAATTGTAATTCGCTATTCATCAAATCAAATAATATTAATTGGGCATCAATTCACATAACCTTTCTTCGACTTTTATATCAAATAATCTTTGATTATTTTATTTTTGAATATTATTTATAAAAACAAAAAATATTACTTTTTTTTTTTAAATTAACCATAACTAATAAAATAACTCACTTTTAGCTATATCCAAGCACGTCAAAAAAAAAAAAATAAAAAAAAATACTACAAGTACATAATAAATGTAACATAACACTCATATGGAGTGGTGTCCACTTGATTTTCATTTGAGTAATGCTACAAGTACATAACATTGTACATAGGGACGTACATAACACACATTGGTGGGACTCGCCAAAAATAAAAAATTAAGTGGACCCCACTCTATATGAGTGTTATGTACATCTCTATGTACATTTATTATGTACCTGTAATATTTTTCTTTTTTATTTTTGTAGATCTCACTCGACGTGAGTGTTATGTACACTTACAGGGGCGAAACCATGTGGGGGGTCGGAAAGGCGCCGACCCCTCAAAAAAAAAAAAATTAAACTAGGAGTGGAGGATTTTGCTGGAACTGGAAGATTTTTCTTTGAGCGCGCATGTTGGGCCATCCCCGGTTTCATGCGGTACATACATGGCCAGAAGGGCGCCAACGGTTTTGTCGTGAATTTTTTTTAAAGGCAAATTGGGCCCTCCCCAAAACGGGATCCTGGTTTCGGGACAAGGAGAACAATAACAATAGCAGAATCTAATAATTTATTCATTTTTATTATATTTTGAGTTGGTTAATTAGCCGACTTGCGGTGTACCGACGGGACTAAAAAACCGAGTCGATCATTACTGAAAAATACTTTTATGAAAGTACGGGAAGCGGAGAGTGCGTTGGTGGCATCGATTTATGATTTTGAGCTCCCGACTATTTATTTTGGGTAGCCCGAAGTTGAGAGAAAAATGGCAGTTGCGGTGATTTTATTGTCATTTTCATGTGTAGACTTCGGGTAACCGTCGGCCCTTGTTAGGCGTGCTAAAAATTAGAGGGAGTGCTTTCTTGAAAGCACGAGAACAGTAGAAGCCGTTCGTAAAATTAATTTCACGTTTCAAAGTTTCGAGCATTTATTTTGAGAAGCTCGAAGTCGAGTGCGCATAATAAAAGAATAAAAAGCCGTTTTGCGGTGTTCCGTGAGGTTGCGTGTGACCTCGGTTTAACGAGAATCGAGTTGGAGTGTGTAGACAATTCAAGCACAATTCCATACAGACAAATTTCGCATTTTTCGGAGTTCCTAGCATTTATTATGGGAGTTTGAATTTCTGCGTTAAATAGTATCAAAAGGAGCAAATTTGTCGAGGACGAGTTCGATCGTTCAAGACTTCGTTTTCTCAATTTTTTCAGCTTTTCGTCTATTTGAAAGGAGGTATAATTCTTGATTATTATTATAATTGAGTCCGAGATTTTTATTAGTATAAATTCGAGTATTTTTCGAGTTAAAACAATTCAGTTTAAGTATACCAGTTTAATTCCGGACTTAGTTTGATTTTTAGAAAAATCTTTAATGTATTCCTTTATATCCTACGAAAATTTTTGAGAGCGTCCACAAAAGCCCTTTGAGCGTCCTTCCGATGCCGGAGTGCGGATGGGTGCGCCACGGCAAATTGGGCCCTCCGCGGGATTACCGGCTGGTTTCGCCACTGTACACTTATATGTATAATATTATCTACATATAACATTTCTCTAAAAAAAATACACAAAGTGCAATTTTCATAAACAATTGAGGAGATTGATGTTGCAAAAAATAAAAAATAAATAAAAATTGAGGAAATTGAACTCATGGTAGTAGACTTCATATTGTATGTGTTATTGTGGGCTTCTTTAGTCGTTCAGTTGAACTATCGGATGTATTTTTCTTGAGTTAATATAATTATCATTATCATTTTTCGTTGGAAAAAAAAAAAAAAAAGAAATGAGGCCTATTTTCATTCCAAAATTACTGTACAAATTACCTTGACCACTCGTGCGTTGACTCCGGCTATGTGCGCGTGCGCCGCGTGATGGACACCGTCATTTCACCGTCTCGAGGCCCAGGGGCATTATCGACCAATCGCACATTTCGTGATCCGCAATTAACGAAGGCCCTCTCCGCACATAAATTTCACGGCCATCACATAAACTCACCCATTCACTCGCAGCCCGCCATTAACGTAACCCTACTCATTCTTCTTGTCGAGCAATTCATCGCCATCAACCCAAAGCAGAAGCCATGGCCCGGAAGTTCTTCGTCGGCGGCAACTGGAAATGCGTGAGTTTCCGATCCTCCTCGTTCATGAATGGTTGCCATTTGAGTTCCCCTAATCGATCTCGATCCCGATCTCATAATTTACTCATGTTCTTTACTGAGATCATAATGGTTTAGATTCTCAGTTAATCTTTTTCCTGAGGTGGTTTTTATATTTGAAGTGGTATCTGATGTGATAATGGTTATATCTAACCTGTTATTACATCAAGGTTCAGTTTTGGGATCCTGTAAATGTCTTAATTTGCTCATGTTCTTTGATGAAATCACAATGCTTTAGATTCTCGGTTAATCTTTTTTTCATGTGGTGATTGTGCGTTTGAAGTGGTTTCAGATGTGTAAATGGTTTCTGGTTTTGGATCACCTGAATTAATTTTTTTAACAACTCTTATGGTCAGATCTGAAGGAGATTTTCGTTTTTATTAACTTGCTTGTGTTGATTTGAGCACACTACTTTTTCCCTATTGAAGAACTGGATCAGTTGGTAGTGGGCTTCTGATTTAGGAAAAATGTTTTTAAATCATACGAAGTGCAATTTGTAACTATAACCGAAAGGCTTCAGAACTGTATGACACTGTATGCCACGCCTCCTATGTTCTCGTTCAAGTTTGTATTTTTCCATCAGGGTAGGATTGTTCTTTGCTGTATGATTTGCTTGTAGACACCTTGGTTAACTTTCAGTTGTGTTATCTTTCTACTGTTTGTATATTGTCTTGTAAAAGATTGCAATGTTTTTGTAGAATGGAACCTCAGAAGAGATAAAGAAGATTGTATCAACACTCAATGCTGCTGAGGTGCCATCTGAAGATGTTGTTGGTGAGGACACATGCTTATCACAATGTGACTCTGTATTTTATTTATACAAACAAATGCATCCATCTGACAAAGACAAATGTATTTTATTTTTCTTTAATTGTAGAGTTAACTTGTCCATTTATTTGCAGAAGTTGTTGTCAGCCCTCCATTTGTGTTTCTCCCCATTGTAAAGAGTTCTCTGCGGCCCGATTTCCATGTTGCAGCTCAAAATTGTTGGGTTAAGAAAGGGGGTGCTTTCACTGGTGAGATTAGGTAAGGCTTCATATAAAGTCTTCCAGGGTTTTTATTATCTTTGTTGCAAAGTGGTTATCTCGTATTCCCCACCACAAAGCTTCTGGTCTTATTGTTACCTTATTAGTTGAAAGAAATATTCCTTTGCTACTGCTACAGACTGGGGGAAATTAATGAACCTGGGTTAATAATGACTGATTAATAAAACTCCAATTAGCGTTCATGATGTAGTCATATTCTAAAGACAATAAGTTTGTGAATCGGTTAAGGTGTTTTTGCTTATTACTTAAAGGATATGAAAGTTTTATAAGTTCCATTTCTCTTTTGGTGTAGTGCTGAGATGCTTGTCAATCTGGACATACCTTGGGTAATTCTTGGTCACTCTGAACGTAGAGCTTTGTTGGGTGAGACAAGTGAGGTAATATTCAGTGAGTTTGTTCCTTATATCTATCCAATTGAATTGTTTTCCTTACATTCTTATTGTTGTCATGCTGTCCAACAAATTTCAGTTTGTTGGAGATAAAGTTGCATATGCCCTTGCTCAAGGTCTGAAGGTAATTGCTTGCATTGGCGAGACTCTTGAACAGAGAGAAGCAGGATCTACTTTGGATGTTGTTGCTGCACAAACTAAGGCCATAGCAGGTACTGAATGCTAAATTTGTTAGCTATAATATCATAGCATGCACCAGAATATTATTTAATTGAGTTTTATCATCCAGGCTAGGGAATTTATCATTTCATACCTATCTCGGGTGAAATGTGCTGTCTTATGATCCATATTCACAAGAAGTATCTTTTTTATGCAAACAAATGATTGAAGATTGGAGTTGTAATACGCGTAAACTTTGTAGTATTGTTTTTAATCTGTCTTGCCTCGATAAAATCTGTTTGATTTGATATTATCTGGTTTCTATATCTCCACTGATGTGTAAACTCATTCAAGTCAGGATTCGGTGTGCTTTTCTATTTCTATAACCCTGTCATCATGGAGATAATATACCTTCCCCTTTCTCCCTTTGTTTTTTCTTTTCTTTTGCTGTGTGTGTGTCCTGCTCTCCTGAATTCTCGACTGTTTATGGCCCATGGGTAATAACGTAGTGCATGTTTATTGGTTATTTTTTTCAACAAATCTATCAGGCATTCGTTTTTCAGACTTCATGTTTGAATTCTGTGCGCTATCTTGTATTTCACTAGATTTTTTATATAATCAAAAGCATTAGTAATAGTTTAATAATGAAGTTTGTTGTCTACAACATTTTTCATTTTGTTATTTTATTTTATTATATATTTAGTCTTTGAAAATATGGAACCCCTGATGAGAAGTCAGAACAATTCTGGTAAGGCTTTTTTTTTTTTTTTTTGGCTTTGTTCCGAATGCATCCCTAGTTTCTGTGACTGTGAACATGTAATGTGTTTTGAAGAATTTCCTAACGTATTGAAATGTCCATTCTGTTTTCTCATAATTTGTTTGCTGCTATCATTTGATTGTTCTGCGATCAGTCACCTCAACAAAGTGATGATTTTCAAGAGATTGTTCTCAAACCATGTGTTATGTGGCATAAAATATTTGTGTTTTATGATTTACAGTGTTTATGGTTCCCCGTGGATCATCATTTGTTTCTCGTTAACCTTTGGTGTTCCTTCTATCTTCATCTGTACGTGGGTTCTTAATAATCTTGTGTTTAATTTACTACCAAAAACTTTCAAATATCATGCATCACAGAAATATGAACAGTCATTCTGACAACGAGTTAGGTCATACACATTCCTCATACTGTGACGTTAAATGTTCTTTTGCGATGCAGAGCGTATTTCTGATTGGACAAATGTTGTCCTGGCTTACGAGCCTGTTTGGGCTATTGGAACCGGCAAGGTGGCCACTCCTGCACAAGCTCAAGAAGTAAGCCTCTTCATTTTCATAGCCCATCTGTATTTACGTATATAGCCTCCGTAGTGCCAGTTTTTCTTTTTAGAGCATTTTGGTTGATCAAGTGAAAATTTACATACTTTGAATTAATTTGCTTCACATCCAAATGTGTCTGGCATGGACCTCTGGTTTCTTGCAGTCTCACATACTTGTGTATTCCTTTTTGTTCTGTTATAATTTTTCAATTACTATATTATATTTTTTTACCAACTACTATTATAATTATGACAGTGTTACTGCTGCAAATGTAACAACTAAACGGTCTTGTTTTGGACATAGGTGCACCATGAATTAAGGAAGTGGCTTCAGACTAATATCAGCCCTGAAGTTGCTGCTTCAACCAGGATAATATATGGAGGTAGGTAGTGAAATTGGCATCAATGTTTTTGTGTCGTATCAAATATTCATATTAGTAAAATATTGGTGCTATACCAAGTCCTTGATCTGTGATAATATTTATTTGCTTCTATCCATTTGCATGATAGAGACATGTGGATGATTGGCTACATTGTCATATAGATATTTTGTATAAGATGAGAGAATAGTGGCAACGGAAACCTGAATATTACAGGTTGGTTTGTTATAAAATAATAAATTAATTGTAATATATGGTTGATAGTTAGAATTCTGCCAGTGGATCAATAGTATATAGAAAAATGTCGATTGGTTATTAGTGATTGGATGATTTTTGTTTTACAAACGAGTTAAATGATTTGGCACGAGAGTGAAATTGAGTGACTAATGACTTCTCACTGAGACAATTTTGGTGTTTAAAGTGTTTAAAGTGCTTCAGATTTCAGAATATTTTTTTCTCCTAACTTTGCACAGGATCCGTGACTGGTGGTAACTGCAAGGAACTGGCAGTACAACCTGATGTCGATGGTTTTCTAGTCGGGGGTGCTTCTCTGAAGGTAAATATCTCACCCATCTTTTCTCTATTGTGTACTGGAAATCCGAAGATATGGGAAAGAAAATAATTAAAACTGGATGGGTATCAAATTGCATGATCTGTCATCTAATTCTTTTCCTCTTCTTTTTGTGCAATCGTCTGTAGCCGGAGTTCATAGACATCATAAAGTCCGGCGAGTTGAAGAAAAGTGCTTGAGTTTTGTCGAGCCTTGTGTAGCCACATTTTGAAGCGGTTTCAGAGATGTAATAATACTTTCGAATTATTTTCATCCCAGTTGTTGGGGTTCTTTGTTGCACCTTTTGAGTTTTGTTTGTTTCGATCCTCTTACCTGTTTCGAGGCACACGTTTGTTTTAACCCTTATGGTATGATTTTTACTGTGACCTGAATAAATTTGCCAAACCTTGAGTTGTGGTTTTACTGTTTGTTTCGATCTGCACTTACTGTGATGTTTTGTTGAAAATTTTTGGCCTTTGCTTTGCAATTATCCTGTGATTTGTTTGCAAAGAGCACATACATGAGTGATAAAGGGCGATTGGATACAAATTATTTGTAGTTTTGTTATGCTGGATAAAATATTTTTAATGGAACTAAAATTTCATTTAATTTTTAGCAATTAAATTACTGTTCATCTGTACAGATTTATTTCTTCTCAATCTTATCAATTCAATTTAAAACAAAATCCGATTGTACTATATATCTTTTAATAAAAATTATTATTTACCTATTCACATAATGTATTAAGTGTAACTTGTAATAGAACCGCGATGACCCGAGTTTGGGCAAATTGAGCTTATGCTTGACTACTTTGTGTTCGTTCGCTAATTTTTGAAACAAAAAATTGTATTTGTGATCGTTCGTTTAATTATTCGTCAATGTTCGATTTAATTCGTGTTCAAGTAACTTAGCAAATTAACTTGTTAAATTGTTTGATTAAAACACGTCTTGTTCGAAAAAAGATCATGTTTTATATTTTTAATTAAAAATTTCATACATAAAAATATTAATTTAAAATAAATTACACTAAATTAATGTTCGTGAATATCATCGAACGTCCACGAACGAGTTTGTGTTTGTTCGACTACTAAACGAGTTTAATTTTTGTTCGAACTCGGTGAGCTCGTGTCGACCAAAAATGAACTTTTGGTCACAAGGTCTTTGTTCTGACTGCTAAACGAGCTTTTTTTTTTATTCAAACTCATCTAGATTAATATTATTTAATTATATTAATAACATTGAAGATGTTGCAGTTAATAAATTAATGTTATTTAATTATATTAATAATATTAAGAAAATAAAAATGTAATATTAATAAAGTTAGAATTAGATTTTATTTTAAATATAAACAAATACACCCTTTTAATTTTCTAAATAAATTTTCTCTCTCAACAATCTGACCGGCATTTGTTGAAAAACTCCCTTTCAGTTCTGTACTTCTGTCGCTACACTGTTTGAGATACTTTCCACGTTCGCCGTCAGCTCCAATTCTCTTGAAATCAGGGTTCCGGCGTCCGATTCGGATCAATCGCAAGCCCCATTGTCAAATTCCCAATTCCCCATCACAAAAATAAGCCATAACCGGAATCATGACGGCTCCGGCCGCCAAAATCGATTCTTAGGCCTATCCAGACTGGCGCGACGCGCCGGTAGAACTCATGGCGGCCGTGTCCAAACACCTGACTTCAATCCACGACTTCCTCGCCTTCCGTGGGGTCTGCAGTTCGTGGCGATCGGCAGCCACCTTCGACAATTTCGACGGGGAAGTCCCTAGGGTTCCATGGCTCATGTGCGTTTCCAGCGAAGGGGAAGAGATGGCAAAAGAGGGGAACACTGACGGCGGTGCCAAGAAAGTTGTTGTTAGTTTGTTTGATCTCTCTACCGAGAAGGCCCGCATCTTGAACAATGTCAGCCCGATGGATGGAAAAGGGTACCTTTCTAGTCGAGGATGGATACTCTGCGTTTCTGAGTGTGACGGCAGTGTCTATTTGACTCATCCCGTGTGGCGTATCAAAATTGAACTTCCGGGTTTGGGTACTCTTCCGGGGTACACGCTGAAAGAGGGTATTGGCTATATCAAGAAAATGGTTTTGTCTGGAAGCCCCACAAGAAAGACTGATCTTGTGGTGATGGTGATTTGGGGCAAGCTTAAGCGGCTGGGCTTCTCGAGGCCGGGGGACTTGTCTTGGACCGTGATGGGTACGTGGAGGGACTCGTTCTGTGATATTCTTTACCACAATCGGAGGTTATACGCGGTGAATCTTAGCAAGAGTATCGTAGAATGCGATATCCACGGGCCGAACCCGACACATTTGTTGCAGGTTTTCTGTCTGCCTAGCAATGTTGAGGCCAATGGGGATTGAAAGTTCCATGCAATACACAAAGTCATCAATGGCTAGCTATGTGTGAAAGTTCCATTCAAGCCCACCATTCAAGAAGTCTTCAAATGATACCTCCACCAACCCTTCACATTTCACACCATTTTGTCAATGGTGGTGTGCTATTTCATACCTATAAATAGACTTGTTATTTCATTCATTCATATCATCCTTGAGTGATCAATCAACCTAGAGAGTGTTGAAACACAACCAAGAAAGAGTTGTGGAGTGTTTGAGAGTTTTTTGTTTAGAGTTTGTAAATCTCTTGTTTTTATTCTTGTGAGTAATAGAAACGTGTTTTTCTCTCAAATTATGTTTTTGATCTTGGGATGATACCACAACAAGTGGTATCAGAGCTTGGTTTGAAGCTTTCGAGCTTATTTTCGAATTTTTCCGAGCTTCTGTAGAAATTTCGAGTTTCTGAGTTGTGCTCGAAACTCAATTTCGAGGACACCGTTGGATTCGTCTCGTCGAGACGGTCGCGGTGATATCTTACGGGCGAAAAACGGACACCGGAGCTGCCCCGAAAAGCCTCCGCAAGTTCTGAAAAAAAAAAAAAAAAAAAAAAAAAAAAAAAAAAAATCTTGAGGAAGAAGATGATGACGTGTCGCCACATCATCTGACACGTCATCGCCACGTCAGCAAGGAAGGCCCAGTCAGCAGCCCAGTGAGCTGCCACGTCAGCAGTCCAGTCAGCCACCAGGTCAGCACTCCAGTCAGCTGCCACATCAGCAAGTCAACGCCACGTCAGCGTTGACTGCCACGTCATCCAAAAAAAAAAAAAAAAAAACTCCCCCCCCCATTTTTGACTGTTCCGGACGCAACGGTGCTGTCTATTTTTCGAAATTCAGCTCCGATTTGTCCCAAACAGATCATTGAAGGTATAAAATGGCCATGGAAGAGTCAACTTCATCTTCTGGAGCTATGATTATGCTCACGGCTACCAACTATACGCTGTGGAAACCTCGGATGGAAGATTTCCTCAGCTGTAAAGAGCTCTTTGATCCAATAGAGCTGAAGGGTAATAACCCTGATCCGTCCAAGGCATTAGAATGGAAGAAAATCAATAGAAAAACTATTGGTCAAATCCGACAATGGATTGATCATAGTGTCTTCCATCATGTTGCACAAGAAACCGACGCATATGTCCTTTGGAGGAAGTTGGAGGACATGTACCAGGCCAAGACCGCTCGGAATAAGGCCTTATTGATGAGGCGCTTAGTCAATATGAAGTTGAAAAGTGGAACTTCTGTTGCCGAGCATACCAGTGAGTTTCAGAGCCTGGTAAATCAACTATCTTGTGTGGAGATGCCGCTTGGAGATGAAATGCAATCTCTACTACTTCTTAGTTCCCTTCCTGATAGCTGGGAAACACTCGTTGTTACTCTCAGTAACTCAGCCTCAAACGGCAAACTTTCCATGTCCGTTGTCAAGGATGCCTTATTCAATGAAGAGGCAAGAAGGAAAGACATGGGCACAGATCAGACCCATGCCCTTGTGATGGAGAATCGAGGAAGACCACAAGGCAAGCAACAAAGAAGCAGTAGAGGGAAGAGCAGGGGTAGAAGCAAGGGGAGGCAATCAGATGATCGGAGATCACATGTGTGCTATCATTGTGGTCTAGAAGGTCATATGAAGAAGAATTGCTATAAATGGCTCGAGGAGCAGAGCAAGAGCAATTCTCAGCCGAAGAATAGTTCTCAGCAGAAGAACAAGGGCAAGGGTGGTGAAACTCTTATCACTGTCTCAGGTGATGTAGCATATTGCTCTAACCATGGTGAGACGTGTCTTCATGTCTCAAGAGAAGACATGGAATGGGTGGTAGATACTGCAGCATCCTATCACGTTACTCCCAACAGGAAATACTTCACAACATACCAAGCTGGAGACTTTGGATCGGTGAAGATGGGAAATTCCAGCTCCTCTAAAATTGCCGGAATTGGTGATATCCAGGCAACGACAGGAACCGGGAGTACAATCTTGTTGAAGGATGTCAGGCATGTGCCAGATCTTAGGCTGAATCTTTTGTCAGTGGTGGCTCTTGACAAAGAAGGATATGAAAATCACTTCGACGCAGACACATGGAAGTTGTCAAAGGGTGTTCTGAAAATTGCCCGAGGACATGTTTGTGGGACGCTGTACAAAACACATTTGAATATCAGTACAGAAAGTCTCAATGTTGCAGAGGAGGTTTCCCAGGATCTATGGCACCAGAGACTCGGCCATATGAGTGAGAAAGGGCTGACTACCCTGATGAAGAAGGATCTTATCAAGGTTGATAAGAGTGCGGCGATGGGTTCTTGCAGTCATTGCCTGTTCGGCAAGCAGCATAGAGTCTCATTCAATACAAGTTCAACAAAGAGATCAGAGTTATTAAGTTTGGTACACTCTGATGTTTGCGGTCCCATGGAGGTTGAATCACTGGGTGGAAGCAGATATTTTCTGACTTTCATTGATGATGCTTCTCGAAAGGTGTGGGTATATTTCCTGAATACGAAGGACCAGGTGTTTGAGTACTTCAAGGAATTTCACGTCATGGTGGAACGTGAAACAGGAAAGAAGCTGAAATGTCTCCGATCTGATAATGGAGGCGAGTATACTTCCAAGGAGTTCGATGCATATTGCAGGACATATGACATTCGACATGAGAAGTTAGTACCACGTACCCCTCAGCACAACGGTGTTGCTGAAAGAATGAATCGGACTATCATGGAGCGTGTCCGAAGCATGATGAACATGGCTAAGTTACCAAAGCCATTTTGGGGAGAAGCTGTCAAGACCGCATGCTATCTAATCAACCGATCACCTTCAGTTCCATTAAATTTTGAAGTTCCAGAGAGAATATGGACTGGTAAGGATCCGACATACTCACATCTCAGAGTATTTGGTTGTGTAGCATATGCACATGTATCCAAAGAGCTCAGGAAGAAGCTCGATGCGAGGTCCATCCCATGCATTTTCATTGGTTATGGAGATGAAGAGTTTGGATACAGATTTTGGGATCCAAATGAGAAAAAGGTGATCAGAAGTAGGGACGTTGTGTTCCAAGAAAATTTGACAATAGAAGATATCGAAAAGCCCAAGATGTCTCAGAAGTCAAATGTGGGTGCTCAAGTTTCAGATGAAGCACCAGAATTATTCCGGAGAAACAATGAAGATGATGTACCAGAAGAAGACGAGGAGACGGAGGAGAGTGCAGAGCAAGGGGAGCAACAACCCACCTCGCCAGAGCAAGGGGAGCCACAACCCATTTTGCCAGACACCAATGTTGGAAGTTCTTCTCAGATGATTCTACCCACTCGTAGATCTGAACGAGGTCATATACCATCAAAAAGGTACTCATCATCTGAATACCTTCTATTGACAGAAGATGGAGAACCAGAGAGTTTTCAAGAAGCCATATCTCATAAGGATAAAGAAAAATGGATGGCTGCGATGCAGGAAGAGTTAGATTCTCTGCATAAAAATCAAACTTATGAGATTGTTAAACTTCCAGAAGGGAAAAAGGCTTTGAAAAATAAATGGGTGTTCAAGCTGAAGAAAGATGCAAATGGACAAGTGGTGAAACACAAAGCTCGATTGGTTGTCAAAGGCTTTCAACAGAAGAAAGGGATTGATTTTGACGAGATCTTTGCACCAGTTGTCAAGATGACCTCAATTCGAGTCATACTTGGTTTGGCAGCAAGTATGAATTTGGAGCTTGAACAGATGGATGTGAAGACAGCTTTTCTTCACGGAGATTTGAATGAAGAAATCTATATGCAGCAGCCAGAAGGTTTTGAGGTTTCAAGTGAGAACCTCGTGTGCAAGCTATCTAAAAGCTTGTATGGCCTGATGCAAGCACCAAGGCAGTGGAATAAGAAGTTTGACTCATGCATGAAGAGTCAAGGTTACAAAAAGACTACTGCAGATGAGTGTGTTTACATCAAAAGATACTCAAATGGGGCTTTCATAGTTCTTCTACTGTACGTCGACGACATGTTGATCGTTGGGAATGATGCGGAGAAGATACGTCAGCTGAAGAAAGAACTTTCCAAGTCTTTTGATATGAAAGATTTAGGAAAGGCTCAACAGATTCTTGGGATGCAGATTACTCGAGACCGAGAGAACGGCAAGTTATGGCTATCTCAAGAGAAGTACATTGAACGAGTACTTGAAAGATTCAATATGAGTGATGCTAAACCAGTGAGTATTCCACTTGCGAATCATTTCAAGTTGAGCAAAAGATCATGTCCAACATCCAAGGAAGAGATGGGGGAGATGTCTGCAGTGCCATACTCTTCAGCAGTTGGAAGTCTGATGTATGCAATGGTGTGTACAAGGCCAGATATTGCTCATGCAGTGGGTGTAGTAAGTCGTTTTCTTTCTAACCCCGGGAAGGAGCATTGGGAGGCTATCAAATGGATTCTCAGATATTTGAAGGGTACTTCTAAGTTATGTCTTTGTTATGGGGGAGCTGATCCAATCTTGGAAGGATATACTGATGCTGATATGGCCGGAGATATTGATTGTCGAAAGTCTACTTCGGGCTATGTCTACACTTTTGCAGGGGGAGCCATTTCTTGGCAATCAAGATTGCAGAAGTGTGTTGCTTTATCCACAACAGAAGCTGAATATATTGCTGCCGCTGAAGCTGGTAAAGAAATGTTGTGGCTAAAGCGCTATATCCAAGAACTTGTGATTAAGCAGAAAGAGTACAAGGTATATTGTGATAGTCAAAGTGCTATTGACTTAAGCAAGAACTCTATGTACCATGCCCGCACAAAGCATATTGATGTTCGGTATCACTGGATACGCGAGAAGATTGATCAACAGCTGTTGAAACTAGTGAAGATCAATACGAAGGAGAATCCATCAGATATGTTGACGAAAGTGGTTACACTGGATAAGCTTAAGCTATGCAGAGACATAGTAGGGATGCTTATTCAGAACTTGCATGGAAAGGGGAGAATTGAAAGTTCCATGCAATACACAAAGTCATCAATGGCTAGCTATGTGTGAAAGTTCCATTCAAGCCCACCATTCAAGAAGTCTTCAAATGATACCTCCACCAAACCTTCACATTTCACACCATTTTGTCAATGGTGGTGTGCTATTTCATACCTATAAATAGACTTGTTATTTCATTCATTCATATCATCCTTGAGTGATCAATCAACCTAGAGAGTGTTGAAACACAACCAAGAAAGAGTTGTGGAGTGTTTGAGAGTTTTTTGTTTAGAGTTTGTAAATCTCTTGTTTTTATTCTTGTGAGTAATAGAAACGTGTTTTTCTCTCAAATTATGTTTTTGATCTTGGGATGATACCACAACAGGGATGATCCTTTACCCTTCCCAGTCCCACAGAATGATCCTTTATTCATGGCACAGCATGCGGGTGATAATAATGATTTTGATAATAATTTTCCTAGAAAACTCATGCTTTATTTGGTAAAGTCATTCGGGAAGTTTCTGATTGTCAGTCGCTGCATTGTGAATAACCGAACTTTCAGATTTCAAATTCTTGAAGTTGACTTGAAGGATGGTAGTCATAAGAATATTAAGCGCCTGTGGAAAACGGCTATCTTCTTGGGTTTGAATTCTTCTGTCTGCCTAGAGCTCCCGGAGTGGGGTGTGGTAAAGCCTAATTATTTCTTGGGTTTGCTCCCGGAGTGGGGTGTGGTAAAGCCTAATTATATATACTTCACGGACGATCATTCTGGAAAGGGTAAGGGCCTGGATATGGGTGTTTGGCAGTTAATGGGTGGCGTACCCATGGGTTTACATCATGGGTGTTCGGGTGCTTTTCTTGCTCCACCCGTGTGGGTTGTGCCTAGCATTTGATTCAGCCAAATTATTTGGCGACCGAGTGGTACTCTGCTTTCTTTAGTATGACTTGTTGAACTGATAAGCTCGCCTGGAAGCTTGTATTCTATTGAGATTTTTAGTACAGGAATCTGACTCTTTTCGTCTTAGAAAGTGACTCCAGTGTTATAAATAGTATAAGGCATTTTGTAATGTTTGGCTGGAAGCTTTTATTTGTACTATATTTTACTATAAGTACGAAAGATTTGTCTATAACTGTCCTGTCATGTTACAAGTATTCCCTAATCCTACTTCTAATTGTGCGGTAGATTTTCTCTTGCTCTCATCTGAAGCGTATAGAATGTCGTTCCACTTTTTTTTGCACGCAAGTTTTCTCGAGTATATTCCTCCTTTTCCAGTTTGATTATGTCTGAGTGATGATATTGAGTTGCCGAATATCTTTTTTTTTTTTTTTTTTGGATATGGCTCTTCTGTCGTTGTAGACTTGTAGTCAGTGAACAGAGTGGTTTTAGTCTACTGCTTGTTGACTATACCTGTTTTCTGAAAGATGCCGTTAATGTTCTTTTCAGATTACGTTGATTGTTGTGCATTTGCTCCCCAAATTATATGTTTTTTCGATTATGGATGATTGTTGATTACTTCATGTTAAATTGATAGTGTTCATAAGTTCTGATATATCTCATTTGATTTATTACTTTTTATTTAGTTCAAGTAAAATTTTGTGGAGACGAGATGGTACTGTCGATGCGTTACATTGGAAGACTTCAGTAATTTGTTTGAGAGTAGAGAGTTAAAGTGATCCGAGTGCACGTTCCGGCGAAGGACAGTGACCATGAATGGGTCTGTGAATTGAGAGGGAAAAGATTTAACATTTTTTTTTTTTGGCCTCACTTGTGTATTAAATGTAGGGACATGAGATAGGATGAAACTTCTCAAATCAGCTCACATAAAGGATTTAACATAGTTGCAGGGTTACACTTGTGCTTGTAAATCATTGAGATAAATGGGATGAACACTGTTTCAATTGAAACATGATATTTGAATTAAAGAATCTCATATTCTTGGGAAATGAGAGTCCTTTAAGTTTTAATATAACTTCTTTTGTCATCCTAAAATATGACTTGATGGGCAATTCTAGATCAATCCTTCAATTTACCATTATATATTAGTAAGTTTTTTTTTTTAATTGGCTACATATTAAAATCTATACTATTTACTAAATGTAGTATGTAGTCAATCCTAATTAATGATTTGCTATTTTTATCAAGCATTTAATTAATGCATTTAATATTTTTGGTATAATATTTTTGGTATCGAGGATAGTTGATCTAACAGTTACAAATTTCGACAGAATAATTCTGTAATAAGACCGTCGCATATCCTTATATTAAATATTTATCCAACTATCTAAAAGTAGAAAGTCCAAATAACAAGTACGTGGACAAGTGTATCCTATAGTCACAACGTGGTACCAATCAACCGGACAAAAAATCAAAAAATTGAACACATTCGGCCAACCTAGAAAAAAATACAAAACAAAATAAAACGACATTACTCCACCATTAAATTATTGTGTCCATTGGTCTGAAGCCCGTCAATGTAGCGCGAGACCAGCTTGGTCCGTTGTCTCCCGAACATCGACCCGTGTGAGAAGTTTGTAAAACTCCTATGTGTAGTCATCTACCGATTGAGCCCCTTGTCTTAAATTTTGCAATTTTTGATAAATAGTACGAACGTAGTTAAAAGGTAAAAACTCATGTTCAAGGTGTTCACGAAAACTTGGACCAGGACGTGATTTTCAACTTGCCCAACCGATGTCGTGAACCCTTAACGTGCTGCCACCACGCCACCGCCCGGCCCCGTAGGCGTGTCGCCACTAGGCCCACTTTTCTCTCCTCCGGCACCTCCTTAAACTCCAAAACGGATTCAAACGAAGCCATCCAGTCGAGGAATTCTGTTGCGTCGAGCCCGCCCGTGAACTCGGAGATGTCCACACGGAAGGAGCCCTCCCACCGCATGTTGCCATCCTCTTCCACCACCTGGTCCCGATGCCCGAAAGGATTGACATCCTCGTACGTCTCATCTGAATCCTCACCGTCGTCACCGTGTTTATGCAGCACTGTTGTGATTCTGTAACCCGTCATCTCCTCAGCAGCGCCACCGCCGTGATTCTGCAACCGTCGTCTCCTCAGCAGCGCCGCTGCCGTGATTCTGCAACCGTCTTCTCCTCAGCAACGCCGCCGCCATGCTTCTGCAGCCCGCTGCTCCGGCAACTTCCTTCAGTCAGTCGTTTTTGTAGGTCCGCCACCGGCAGCTTCCTTTAATGGGATCCGACATACAACCACCATCGTTTTCGTCTGCAGGTGGCACCCGCCGCTGCAGCCATACCCTCCGTCGACGTCGGAGTCCGCTCGAGCCCCCAACAATTAAACCGCCATCGTCCTCACCAGTCCTCTGCAACCGCCGACACCAGACCGACGAAGATGGAGAAGATGACGACCTAAACCAGACTGATTAATTAGCCTTGTCGCGGTAAAAATGGCTGCTGATGTTGTCCACGACGGCGGCGATGTTGTTCTGGAAGGGGCTGCCGACGGTGGGTGTTTCCTTATAGGGACTCCGGCGGTGGGGAGTTGGCAGTTGTGAAATTGGGGGATTTTCTAGGTTTTTGTGATTTGGGGATCTGGCAGTGTGCAATGAAGGGGTTTTTTTGGGTTGGATTTTTGTAAATTAGACAAGGTATAGGTGTCTTTGTGCAATTTTTAAAAAAATTAATATATGTTTATTATTTGTCCATAGTAATTATGAAATTCATTAAGAAAAATAATTTATTACTAAATGCACAATAATGACACATAAAATGCACATTAATGTGTTTCCATGTGCACACTAAAAATTCAAATAACAAAATGTCTACTGAAAAATTAAGTTTGGTCAAGCTTGGTATATATTATGATATTAGTTAGTCATTAAAATACAATTCAGTTGACGTTATTGTGCAATCACAAATACAAAAAAAATTAATACTAATAACAATAATAATATTTTTATATAGTTCACAATACAAAAAAATTAATACTAATAACAATACAAATATTTTTATATAAAGTTCGTTGGCTTGGTTATTACGGTTTTAAAAAAAGTTGACATCAAATCAAAACAATCGAGTTATTCATATGTAAAAAAAAAATGGAACCGAAATATAAAATTTCGAAGAAAATTTATATTTTGATATTGTGCAATCACCAAAATATAAATTTCTTTAACTGATGTTCGATCAAGATTGGTAGATATTGTGCAATCGTATCGTCATTAAAGTGCATTTTGTATAACTTTAATGTGCAATCGCAATGCATCAAAATATAATAACAATAATAATGATAATATTTTTTTATATATTTCGGTAGTTTGGTTATTTCGGTCAAAAAAGACAGACATTGAACCAAAATAATCAAGTTGATTTTATGTAGAAAAATAGTAAATCGAACCAAAATATAAAATTTCAATCAAAATTTTATGTTTTTGATATTGTGCATTTTACGGTCATTAATGTGCAATTCGTCTAACACTATTATGCACTCCCAATACATTGATTTTTGATGATTTGTCACAATCCAAACTAATTCGAATTGAAATACTAGTTCATTCGATCGATTAATTGGGTATTTCAGTTAACCGAAATAATTGTAATAATTTATTATTTATATAATCAAAATATTTTTAGTGTTTTATTATTTTTTTTCCACATTTTAACACTTTCGTGCAGTTTGACAGTGCGTAAGGTTTAATATTTATAGAGAGAGATTCTAAAAGGTGGGTTTTATATTTTCAAGCTTGGTAGGTTATGTTACAAGAGCCAAGACAAAGAAAATATGAATAACCTACAATGGGACAAGTTTACGTTTTACCTAAGCCAATTAAATTATTTTTTTTAAATGATAAGATATAATTGATAAATTAATTAGTGGCCACTTGAGAAAAAAAAGAGTATCTGAAAGATCCTTTCAGAAAAAGATAATAATTTGGAAGTGTGGTTGATTATATGATGAAAACGAAAGATTAAAGTTGATGTAATATAAATTAATAATATGATTAGTTGTAGTTAGAAGTTAATTGTAGGAAAAATCATGACATATTTATAAATTGTCGATAAATTTTATTTTTTTAAGGTGATATATTAATAAATAGCAAGGTTTTACACCATAAATAGCAATTTCAAAATAAATTACCATATTATTTAATTTTCAGAATTTAATAACCAAAGCAGCATGAATGGAAAATATATATTCCTATTATAAGATGTTTGTACTTTAATAATTTAGAGCATCTCCAATGCTCTAATGTTGTTATAGAATTTTTTTTGACAAATGTCAAAAAATTAAATAGATTGTGAACCATGTAGGATAAATGTTGAGTTCACAACTATTAAATTAAAAAATCATCACCAATGCACAATGTTGTCTAATTACAATATTATCTACTTGCCAAATAATAAAATATTAATATGAATTAATAAAATTAAATAAATAATTAAATGGTTTGAAGATGGTAATAATAGTTCTCTCTCTTCTCCTCATTGGCTAATTAGAATATGGAATAGGATGTGGATGAACCACATTCTTCTCTACATTGTGGACATTAATTATGTCCACATCATCACAACATTTGTAATCACATTGTACATTGGATGATGAAAAATTGTGATATTAATAAATGTGTTGATGTGGAGTGTAATTTACCACTACAACATTGAGCATTGGAGATGCTCTTATATAGTATTTTGAAGTATGAAATATTTGTATGTGAAAGTAAGTATATATGTTGAACGATTATGGTTACAGCTTACAGGGCATCTGGAAATTTATATATTTTACTAAATATTTTTTTTTTACAATATATATTTTTCTAAAAAGTAAATATAAACTGAGTAATTTACAAAAATAATCTGTAAAGATATTTATTAATTAGATTTTTTCTTGTTCTCACATTTTAAAGTATTCTTATTACAATGTTCCTAT